GTGAGCTGGAGGTGTCGCTCAGTGGGACAGCACATGCATAATATGTGCAAGGCCCTGGGCTCCATCCCAAGCACATGTGCGTGCACACACACATACACACGCACACACAAGCAAATGCACACACACATTGCCTGGGATCATGGATAAAGTGAATGATGCATGTATTTATAGAACAGAGTTAACTATGAAAAACACTATGAAGCATTTTTAAACTTCCATATGCCAAAAGATGCAATGCTTATGATGAAGATCAGGTCAGTGAGAGACAGAGACAGGAAGATAGAGGCTGAAAAAGAGAAAAGGAGGTGTGGATTGAATGGCTACTGAAATCCTTTGCTTTTTTCCTAAATTCACTGAAGTGGTTAGTTTCAGTCCAAGCAGAGTCTCCTTCGGGCATTATGCTGTTTAAAAAAACACCAGTTTACAGTAAGCAACTGAAAACTGGCTTCACCAGAAGGACAGTTCTGAGAAGACTGTGTCTTTCACTTGCCTTTGTCCTTAACCCTCAACAGGTTTGAATGACTGGTGTGGGCTTGGTCCACTTTAGGTGTGGGGCAAGACCCGATGCCTGTGCGAGCCTTGAGGGCTTCTCCTCTAGAGTTCACCAGGACATCACTTTTGTCGTCAGGGCTGGGAATCAGGCTGAATGATCTGCAATGTCAAACTGACCATAGTTCAAACTTACCAAATAGGCTCAAGCATCACAGAATCCACACCCAAAGGAAGACTTGGTATAGAACATGTTCCACAGAATTATAAATATATACACAAATACATTTAAAAGTGCTGCTCCCCGTCCACTTTATCGCTGTGATGAGTGTTCCAGTTTGTTTATTTACTTCTTTTTCTCATTGTCTCAGCTGTGTTTCTGTGCCTCTTTCTCCGTTTAGACAACAGCAACCTGTTCATTTCTGAAGGCCAGGGATGAGGGGAGGGACAGAGTGGGGAGAGATGGAGGGTGGGAGAGAAAGAAAAGTTAATTAACAGAGCTGCATGTATTCCATGATATGAAAAGTGAGTGGGTTTACTAGAAGCTTGAGCAAACTTTTCCTTTGGTGTGTACTTTTCTCTCCATAGGTAAAAAAACCCACAGCCAGACACTGCAACTATTCTCAGCTACTCAGAATGCTCAGGCAGAATCTCTTGAGCCCAGGAGTTTGAGATCCCCATTTAGAAAAACAAAAAACCAAACCCAGGTTAATTGATATTGTACTTTGTTACATATTATAGTTGTTGCATTATAAATATTACACAGGAATGTCTGGTCTTTTGTTACATGGTGCTCTACTTTTTTAAAGAACAAATGCCAATTACACATGAAGTTAATATAAAGTCAGTGCTCAAAATTAATTTCATTGATGTTTCCAACACGATCTACTGTATAAAGTGTAATAAAAATACTGACTTTGTAAGGTGATTTAACCTGTGGTCCACATTTAACAGTCAAACATTTTATGGAGTTACTCATCAAATTAAATTTTATTTGGTCTGTCAACATTCGACACTGTTAAATTGTTATTGGTTAAATGCATGTTACTAAAACATAAAACTTGTTCTCTGGCAAGAACTCCAGCCATGAATGGTTGCATTTTCTATCTTTTTTTTTTTTTTTTTTTAAATTTCAGGACTCCCAGAAAAGTACAAATTAGTTAGAATTGTACAGGAATGATACTCCTATAGAAAGAAAGCAGTGGTGTATTTTCCCAATGTTTTAGTATTGGTACCTTTTGCATTTCTCCCCACTTTGCGAGGAAAAAAAAGTACATTATTAATGCCACAATAAAGAAACAAACAAAAACACCCCCCACCAACAACCACAACCACCAACTCTGTCAAGTAGCTTTGGATCACGGTTAATTTGCTAAGCCTGCTGTACAGGGGTGAAGAGACCCCACTTTAAGGAGTTGACTTAAAGGAACCATTTAGACCCTCAGTTTTTACCTTCCACGGTTCCAGTGGAAGCAAAATAAAAATATTTATTCTGTATTATGATACAGGTGATAACTGTCAAAATGTTTGCAATTTATATGCTGATGACTTTCTAAAGAGCATTAAAAGTATAATTTGCACAATAAGTTTATAAGTTTAAATGAAGCTGGAGAATTTAAAAAGGGCAGAGAAAGAACAATTGCACCAGGGACTTTGGATATACTGCCCTCCTTAAATACCCATTTAATCTCTACTTGCAGTTCTCAAAATGAATCGTAGTAATGAGGGTTAAAAGGAAAAACAATGGTCACAATTTTGACGCACCAAAGTCTCCTCCTCCACATCTGTGGGGCTGTTGTTCTACTTGTAGATACATTCTGTACAACCTTTTGTTAGACTTGAGACTTTACTCCATGCGCTTGAGTATCTACGCTTTTTTGTGGATAATCTGCTCTCATGAATTTGTTTGACATCCTGACACTATCAATTACTTGATAGCTATTTATCCAGAGATCTGCTACTTTCCTTATTTTTAACTTTTAATTGGTGAGAAACAGCTTGGAGAATGCAAACATTTCTTTTCTCCTCTTTCCCCCCTGAACTTCTTGGCAATGCATGTTTTCTTTTTTACTTCTCTCTCTGAGCATGGTTCATCCATCAGAACATTTATAAACGTTCCTAATTTGAAACATGTGAAACTGAAGTTGGGCCTTTTAACAAAAAACTGGAAAGACCCAGAATTTATCAACAGCATGGATACAAAGTAGACTTCATGGAATAAAAAACTCTGCTTAGCATAGGATAGCCTTGACCCCAGTGGTCAGGGTCCACGAGGACACAGAAGGTTGAGGACAGAGGAGAGAACAACACTACTGTTTCTTCTAACAGGGCATCTCAACGCCGTTTCAGTTGCAGGAATTTCGCGAGCTCCCGTTTCGCCTCATTAGCAATTCAACATGTCTGATTTGCCCACACCATACTTTCAACTTTACCCATTTGACCTGGAACAAAGCGAAAGCACATTTTGCCCAGTGGAAAGGCGTCCTGGCAAGTTGGTTAGCAACAAGCTTGCCAATCCGGGTTCAGTTAGCAAAGAATACACACATTTCATTTAGACGATTACTCATGTATTAACTTCCTCGCTATGCAGTTTTCCATTTCATTTGCTCGAACCTGCCCCCCCCCCGACTTGCTATTCACCTTTTTATCGCAATTCTTGACCTAAGATTTCACATTTCTCGAGAGCAGAAATTTCTGCCTCTTTTCCCGGCTGTGGCCAGCGGTCAACACAGTCTAACTACGAAGAAAAAGGACTGAGCAAAACTTTATTTGCAGGTAGGGAAAAGCGACCCAAGTCTAACATCTTCCCTGGGTAAAGTTGTGGCATGTTACATAGCAATTAAGGAATCAGCGAAAGCATCTACAAGTATCAATTTTACTGTAATTCCCTAGTATTTGGTCACCGGGAATGTCTTGTAACAGCGTAAGTACAGAGGAACGCGAGGGTTCCCGGGGAAATCGGGCGCTCGGCTCTGCCCGCAACTTAACGGCCAAAGACGCCCAGAAGCTGCGCCTCCCGCAGCTGCTCGCCGAGGTGCACCTGGCCCGACCCCGCCGCGCCGCGCAGGAGCGCGAGCAGGCAGGGGTCTGGGCGAGGGCGCGGACGAGGCCACCTAAGGCCGGACTCGAGCGCTCTGTGTCCCCGGATGCCCGGCCAAGCCAGAGCACGTTTAAAAAGTATATTTATGGTCGCCACCGTGCACACCGAAAAGCTTGTTCCGCACCCCCGAAGTGCGCGGGGACGCGGAGCCTGGAAACAAGCCCCTCCCAGCGCAGCTGTCGCCGCCGCCTGCGGGCTCCTTTCACTTTCTCACGGCCAAGTCACCCAGAGGGGCGCCGCTGCCGACACCGCCGCTGCGCCCGCGGACTCCGCCCCGCGCCGCCTCGCTACCGGCCCCCGCCCGCCCGGGCCCCGCCCACCCCAACAGTTACCGCCGGCGATTGGCAACCGCGGGCGGCAGCCCAAGATGGCCTCTCCCATTGGCTGGAGCCCTTTGTCAGTCCGCCTTTGGCCCGCCGCCCCCTCCGCCCTCTCTGAAATGACGCCCTCTTATTGGAAGACTCTGCGGCCTGGGGGCGGGCGGGGAACGCCGGTCCTGCCGCTTTCGGTCAATCGCAGACGCCCAGCGCGGGCAGGGGGAGGAGGGGGGCGGGC